TCTGTTGCTGAATTAGGGGTTGAATCACTTTCTTCTGTTGGTTCGGCAGGTGGTAGATGCTCTGACATCGTCCTCCTCTATGCTGGAGTCCCTAACTATTAGGTTGTCAGAAAAATCATGATGCACTTTTGCATAGAAAAACACAGAAAAACATGTCATGACTTTTATGAAAACCAGTAGTTTGCCTGCTCATTCACAATATGCATTTATTATTGCTTATGAGTCTCTGGGTCAGATGGATGCTTTTTCTGATTTTGACTGTGCTCATTCCTGTGTTTGTGCTTGGCTACAAATAAGATAGGTAACTTTGCTGATCTAGACTGGACTTTCTGATGTTTGGGGGGTCAACTGACTATTGGTAGATCCAGAGAAGTCCCAACTTGGACAGATGTGCTCATCTTTGTGTGATCCCTGATCCTTCAGCAAGCCAGCGTGGGCTTGATCATATGGTAGCTGTGGTGTTCCAGGAGACTATGGAAGTCCACAAGGCCTTTTCGGTCATAACTTGAAACTAGCAAGCCATCACTTGCTGCTCTCTGTTATCCAAGCTCAAGTTCAAGGGGAGGGGAAATGGATTTCACATCTTACTATTATTATTTAAATTCATGACAGAGTGCATGCACATGCACCAGAAAGTGAGAGAGAAAGAAAAAAGTATCCTCCTGTCTTCTAACACACAAGGATCCTGGGCACTTATGCATATGTCTGGACTATTTTCAGGCTGACTGGGCCAACGACTCAAACCGCAGTTGTCATGTAGCTTCCAATTCCACAGTCCTGTGTACTACTGACTGTAACACAGAAGCTGCACTGACTCCACTTCTTGATAGGAATTTCAGTCACATTGCAAAGAGCATAGATATATGGAAGGGTGGAGAATTTAGGCTATTGCAGTGATAAATTTATCTCACCCTTCTTATCACTCACATGTATGACTGGATTAGGCTCTTGGGGTTCTTAATTTCTTTAACCTGTCTATATGTTGATTATAGAGACTGACATTTATGACATTTCTTTTTGTTTCATAGTGTGGATTTGTTTATTTAAGCCATCTATCATGAAAAGCAATATGCTTTATCTTCTGAGAAAAGGGTATCTTTACCAGATTATTTCTTGAAAGTGTTCTGCATTTTCCAAATTTTTTAAAAGTATGTACTTTTACCCAATATTTTTATTGTAAAATACATATACCATAAATGTGCCATCTTTATAATTTTTGAGTGAATAGTTCAGTGCCATTGAGTATATTAATATTATTGCACAGCCATAACTACCCATTCACTTCCAGAATTCTTTTCATCTTGCAAAATCGAAATTCTGTATACATTAAACAATAGCTCCCCATTTTCTCCTTTTCCAGGCTCCTACTCGCCACCTTTCTACTTTCTGTCTCTATGATTTCGACTACTCTAGGTACCTCTGTATATTATTAGTCTGTTATTGTGTTGCTAAACACAAATACCTGTAACTGGGTGGTTTAAGAATAGCAGTTTATCTGGCTCATAATACCAGTGTATGGAAAGTCCAAGGACATAAGGCTGGCATTTGACCAGCCGCTGGTGTTTGTCACAGTATATAGGCATATAAGCAGGCATGTGAATACAGAGAAAGATAGAAAGAAAGAAGAGGAAACAGACTTTTCCACTTTCTCTGTCCCTCCCATTCTTCCAGCCTATTGGGTGGTATCTACCTACTCTTAAGGCAGGTTTTCCTCTCTCCTTCCACTAACTCACAGGGCACTCTGGTAAGGTACCTACCCACCTTCAAGGACTCCCAATGTCATTATATTAGATAGCAAATTGTAGCCCATGAACCCTAAATGGGCAAATTATTATCTAAACCATACCATCATAGGATCATGCAGTATTTCTTTTTGTGACTGACTTATTTTACTTAGCACATGATCTTCAAGAGTCTTCTGTACTATAGCTTATGTCAGAATTTCCTTTGTTTTTAAGGCTGACTGGTAAAAAAGACTTGATTCCATCATTTTGCTATTTGTTTTATATATGCCTTATGGTTTTTGTCCTTCATTTCCTGCATTATTGTCTTCTTTTGCATTTAGTTGATCCTTTTTTGTGGATTTTTTTATCATTCCCTTTTGTTTATATTCTATATTTGTTCCCTTTGAAGCTACCATTGGAATTACATTTAATATCCTAAATTTATACACTCTGATTTGGATTTATAGCAGCTTACCTTCAATATCATACAAAACACTTCCTTTATATATCTGTCCCTACTCCTTTTAGTTATTAATATTGCATAATCACATCTTTATGCATTGTGTGTCCAAAAACATTAACTAATAATTTTAAACAATATATTAGCCTCTTTAGTGTGTAGAGAACAAAATGTGGACTTATAAAGCAGCATTATAATATTATTAGCTTTTATAGTTGCACATATATTTATCTTTACTGAGATATTTATTTCTTTATACTGCTTCAAGTTTCTGTCTAATGTCCTTTCTTTTTTTTTTTTTTTTTTTTGGAGAGGTTTTCGCTATAGGGCGCGTGCGCTCGCCAGACAGACAGAGAAAGACAGAGAGACAGAAAGCGAGAAATCACCCCCCTGGGGGGATGGTCACACCGCAATCCCTTCTCCTCCATTCTCCTCTCGGGATCTTGGGGACGCACGCACACGCGCCCAGCATGAGTTTTAAGCCACCGGGTCCGGGACGCGAACCGCGGCCGACTACGTGGGAGTCCAGCAACATAGCCATTATGCTTACTGCTGGTTCCCTAATGTCCTTTCATTTTAACCCACTGGAATCCCCTTTAGTATTTCTTGTGGAACAGGTCTTGTGTTTGCACATTCCCTCAATTTTTGTTTATCTAGGAATGTCTTAATTCTTCACTCATTTTTGAAGGGCAGTTTTCCAGATACTTGATTCTTGGTTTCATATTTTGTTTTGTTTTGTTTTGTTTTGTTTTGTTTTGTTTTGTTTTGTCTTAGTACATTGAATAAATCTGCACACTATCTCCTGGCCACAGAAGCTGCTGATGATGAAAAATTTGATAATTTTATTGAGGATATCTTGTATGTGATAAGTCTCTTCTGCTTGGCTGCTTTTAAGATTCTCTTTGTCTTTGAAAGGTTTAATTATAATGTGTCTCTTTATGGGTTCCTGAGTTTATCCTACTTGGAGTTAGTTAAACTTTTTGGATGGCTATGTCCATGTCTTTTTATCAAATTTGGAGGTTTCCAGTCATAATTTATTCAAATATTCTTTGCCCTTTTCTCTCACCTCTCCTTCTAGAACTCTCACATTGTGTATGTTGTCTGCTTGATTGTGTCTCACAAGTTCCTTATGCTTTGTTCACTTTTTAAAAACTTTCTATTTCTGAGACTTGATAATTTTCTTTGTCCTATCTTCAAGTTTTCTATTCTTTCTTCTGCATGATTAAATCTATTTTATAATCACTCTAATAAATTTTTTGCTTCAGTTATTATACTTTTCAATTCTAGTATATCTTTTCCATTTCTTTTTAGGTCTTCTTTTTTTTATTGATATTTCTGTTTTGTTAACATTGTTTTCTTGACTTTCTCCATGTTTTCCTTTAATTCTTTGAGCATCTTTGAGAAGGTGTTTCACCTCTGGCCTCTCCCAGGTTACCTTGCCAGGCTGCCTCTGGGTTTTGTGGGCTACCCTAAATCCAGGTACTATAGGCTAGCCAGTCCAGCTCTGCTTGGTCTGCCATAATTCACTCACTTATGGCCTTTCTCAGGCTGCCTTTCCAGTGTTGCCTCTGGATTTTGTGGGCCACCCTTCACCTGGGTTTTACAGGTCAGTGCCCAAACTCCACTTGAATCTGCCATATTTGACATCCCTCTGGCCTTCATGGACCATCTCACCTGGGTCCCACTTAGGTCTGCTCAGGCCCAATAAGGTCTGCTGGTGTTCAGGCTTTTCAGGGCACCCTACCCAGTCCCTGACTGGACAAGCTCTGGTCTCATGTAGCCCTGCTCCACTTTGAGTCTCAAGGATTCCTCTGCTGAAGTTTACTGAGGCCTATTGAGGACTGCTTACCCCTCTCCCTCCACCTCTGGGTTTTATAGTCCGTCCCACCCAGGCCTTACTTGATTATGTTGATCGCTGTGCCACATGGGGTTCCTGCTCAGGCATACTTGGGCCCACTTGCCTTAGGATCTTCAAGGGTACCTTGGCCAGGAATGCTCAGGCTCTGCTCAGCTCCTACCTGTCCATGAACTTCATGGATAGCCACACCTCGCCCTGCTTGGGACCTGTTGACCCCCCCATTGCCCTCCTCTTGCCTCTTATCTCCATCCCATTGTGATCGCCCACCTGGATCGCCTCAACTATGAACTCCACAAAGGGTCCCACCTAAACCCAACCCATCTCATATAGGTACAGAAAGCCCCTGCCTGGGTCCACATGGTCCTGTTTACATACTATCCCTGCAGAAGGCCTAGCCAGGTTCCCACACAACCACTTTCCAGTTAGAGGGTTTAGTATTCAGTTCTCTCTTTCTCTTACTCCTTATACTGCCCATCCTTCCTATAAGAAACTGTCTGCTGTGATCTCTGAATATACAGAGTCTACTGCAATAAAGTCAACTAAAACCAATGCTATATTGATTCATTCAACAAGTACTAAAGGTTATAGTCTTTGGAAAAATAAATAACTAAACAAATAAAAAATATTTCAATATAGAATCTATTCCATAAGTTAGGAAGAAGCAGGTACTGCATTAGGTGCCTAAGTGTAATGTAAGTGTAGGGACAAAAAAAAAAAAGAAAATATTTCTCTTTCAAAAAAATATTAATTTCTTACTAACACTGGGTAAAATATAGTAAACTACAGAAAAGCTGGAAATGGATTTCAGAATGTTGATCATAACAAAACTAAATAAGATGCAAGAGAAATCAAACAAACAATATCAGGAGATAAGACTTATATTTGAAGAATTCAGTAAAGAGCTAGACATCTTTTAAAAAGAATCAAACAAATTCTGAGGATGAAGAATACAATACAAGTGCTCGCTTCAGCAGTACATATACTAAAATTGACATGATATGGAGAAGATTAGCATGTCATCTGCACAAGGATGACATGTAAATTCAAGAAATGCTCCATATTTTTATAAAAGGCATTCAAATGGCAAAGAAGAGCTGAAAATATCTTTATTTGCAGGTGACATGATGGTATACTTAGAAGATCCAAAGATTTCCATGAAAAAGACTTTCTCAAAGTAATATATGAATACGGTAAAGTGGGGGGGGGGATACAAAATCAACCTCCAAACATCTATAGCATTTCTGTATATGAACAACAAGTTGAACAAAGTAGAGCTGAAGAAGGGAATCCCATTTACCATAATCACAAAATGTATAAGACACCTAGGGGTAAACCTAACTAAAAAAGTCAAAGACCTTTACAAAAACTATGAAAATCATTAAAATATATTGAAAGTGACATAAAAAAGTGGGAGATATCCCATGTTCCCGGATTGGAAGAATTAACATAATCAAAATGGCAATTCTACCCAAGTAAACCTACATATTTAATGCAATTCCATCAAAATACCAGAGAAATTATTAACAGATCTAGAAAAGACAATCATAGAATTTATCTGGAATCATAAAAGACCTTGTATTGCCAAAGCAATCCTGCACAAGAAGAATGGAGTGGGTATCATATCAGTCGCTGACCCCACAATATACTAAAAAGCTGTGATAACCAAAACAGCATGATATTGGCACAAAAACAAACAGGTGGACCAATGGAATAGAATAGAGACTCCAGAAATAACGCCCAAAACTTACTACCAACTGATTTTTGACAAAGGATATCAGTCAATCCATTGGGAAAAGGAATACCTCTTTAGCAAATAGTGCTAGAAAAACTGGGTATCCACCTGCAGAAAGATGAAACTGAATCCCCAATCTTTCAGCATTAACAAAAATGAACTCAAAATGGATCAAAGACCTGGACCTAAGACCTCAAACTATAAAATTACTATTAGAAAACACTGGGGAAACTCTGGGAGACATTGAGGTAGGCAAAGACTTCTTAAATAAGACTCCCAAAGCACAGGCAATAATCCCTAAAATAGACAAGTGGAACTATATCAGATTAAGAAGTTTCTGCACAGCAAAGGACACAGTAACAAGTGTAGCAAGTGTGAATCGACACCCTCAGAATGAGAGAATATTTTTGTAAAATATGCCTCAGGCAAGGGACTGATAACCAGAATACACAGGGAACTCAAGTGGCTTACCCAACCCCCCCCAAAAAAAGTCTAACCCAATTCAAAGATGGGAAAATGAGCTGAACAAAAATCTCTTTAAGGAAGCAAAATGAAGAGCCACAAAGCATATGAGGAAATGCTCAACATCCCTTATCATAAGGGAGATGCAGATTAAAACCACAATGAGATACCACCTAACCCCTGACAGAATGTGCAAGATTAAAAGTACAAAAAGTGATTAAGTGTTGGCGGGGATGTGGTGAAAAGGGAACTCTCCTACACTGTCGGTGGGAATGTAAACTGGTTTAGCCACTGTAGAAAGCAATATGGAGGTTCTTCAAAGATCTACAAATAGAACTACCATTTGATCCAGCACTTCCACTTCAGGGTATCTACCCAAAGGACAGGAGAATGCTCAGTTGGAAAAGCACTTGGACATCAATATTTATTGCATCATTATTCATGTTTGCTAAGACATGGAACCAACCCAAATGCCCACAAACAGATGAATGGATGGAAAACGTGTGGCACATATACTCTGTGGAATACTATTCAGCCATAAAAAATAGCAAGACCCTGTCATCTGATAGAAGGTGGTTGAATATGGAAGACCTATTGCTGAGTAACACTATCCAGGCTATAAAAGAAAGATACTTTATGTATCCACTTCATACATAATGACTATCTGCACTTTGTAGTAGAGATTGAAATATTGGAGGGAATAAAAACAATGAAAATAGTTATGGATGCTAAAGACACTGTGGAATGGCGGTTGGGAGAAGGAAAGAGTATAGAGAAGGATAGCATGAGAACAAATAGAGAGGCATGTCATTAGTGGGACACAGATTACCTGGTATATTACCTGTTGATGATAGCATGTATAGTATTCTCAACTGACTGGTCTGAGAAGTATTTCATGTTGGGTAAATTCTCTTTATAAGTCAAATTATATATAGCGATTGGATGTTTAAAAAATGAGGATTAATAATAATTTTAAAAATGATGTAAAACTATTTGATGATTATGATGTGGTTAGTAATGTCTTTGTATTGACTGATAAGCATAGTAATCATGCTGGAAGAAGAAATGCAATACACTATAAAGATATATGCGATTAACATGTACCAAAAATCCCAAAAGGCAAATGGAGAAGAGATGGCAGTGTGGCTTTCTGCCCTGGGGGCAATTTCTCATTTTCCTTTTCTGCCTCTGGTGAGGTACATGCCCTATGATAAATACCTTAAAATAAAATAGCTGTGGACTTTTGTAGAAAAAGAGAGGGAAATTTAAAAAAAAAAAGAATACAATACAGAAAATAACATAACAAACACACACATACACACGCGCGCGCGCACACACACACACACACACACACACACACACACACAATACCTAGACCTAAATCTAATCAAAGTGGTAAAGGATCCCTACAATGAAAACTATGAAGAACTGAAAAAAGAAATTGAAAAAAAAAGATCTTTGTTCTTTCATTAGAAGAATCAATATACTTAAAATGTCCACAATACTAAAATTAATCTACCTATTTAGTGCCACCTATCAAAATACCTGTGACAGTCTTCACAGAAATAGAAAAACAATAGCAAAATTTGTCTGAAATTACAAAAGACACAGAATCACAAAGCAATGCTGTGTAAAAAGAGTAAAATCAGAAGCATCTCACTACCTGGTCTTGAAATATATTACAAAGCTGCAATGATCAAAACAGCATGGCACTAGCACAAAAACACATAATGAAACATAATAGAAAATCCAGAAACAAATTAAACAACATATAGTAAATTGATTTTTGACAACTGTCTCAAGACAGTCCTGTGAAGAAAAGATAAGTCTTTTTAATAAATGATCCTGGTGGGGACCAGCAGTTAGCATAATGGCTATGTCACTGGACTCCCATGTAGTCAACCATGGTTCGAGGCCCAGACCCAGTGGCTTAAACTCATGCTGGGTGTGTGTGCATGTGTGCCCAAGATCCCAAGAGGAGAAAGGAGGAGAAGGGATTGTGGCATGGCCATCCCCCCTGGGAGTGATTTCTCACTTTTCATCTCTCTGTCTCTCTCTGTCTTTCTGGCGAGCACACATGCCCTATAGCGAAAACCTCTCAAAAAAAAAAAAATTGATCCTGGGAAAACTGTTTATCCACCTCTAAAAGTATGAATTTGGTTCCTTATCTCTCTCCATTAATAAAAATTAGCACAAAGTGGATTGACAGATTTAAATGTAAAACCCACATCTACAAAACTACCTGTGGAAAACACAGACAAAACACTTCAAGATATTCCTAGGACTAGGCAAATGTTTCTTTAAAAAAGACCTCTAAAGCATAAGCAGCAATACCAAAAATAGATAAGTATTATTATATCAAGCTAAAAAGCTTCTGCACCATGAAAGAAATAATACAACTAAAAGACAACCCATAGAATGGGAGAAAATATTAGCAAACTATACTTCAGACAAAGGATTGATAACCAGAATATAGAAGGAACTTAAATGGCATACTCACCAAAAAAAAAAGTTAAAAAAAAAACATCTAATACTCCAATCAAAATGGACAATTATTTTGAACAGACAGCTCTCAAAGAAAGATACAGAAATGGCTAAGATGAATATGAGAAGCTGTTCAACTTCTCTTGTCATGAAGTACCTCCTAACTCTAGTCAGAATGGCTGTGATCAAGAAAACAAGGAATAAAAAATACTGGCAAGGTTGTGGAGCCAAGTGACTCCTCATACAAGTCTGGTGGGAATGTAAATTAGTATAGCCACTGTGGAAAATGGTATGAAGGTTTCTCAAACATCTAAAAATAAAACTACTAGGTGACTCAGTAATGCCACTCTTGGGTATATACTCATAGGACAAGAAACTACTCTGTCAGTAAGACATGTACACATCCATGTTTATTGCAGCATTATTTATAATAGCAAATACTTGGAATCAACCTAAGTACCTAAACACTAATTAATGGACAAAGAAAATGTGGCAAATATACATAGTGAAATACTACTCAGCTATAAAGAACAACATCCTGTCATATGATACAACATTGATAAACCTAGAAAACATGATGCTAAGTTAATTAAGCCAGGCTATGAAAGACAAACACTATATGTCCATGCTTAATTGCACTCTCTGGGGAAAGTGAAAGACTTGATGGCATGGAAATAAAAAGCATAATGGTAAATACCAGAAACTTCAAGAGGGTGAATGGGTAGGAGAGTTTAAGAGAAATGATTAACAGACACAAGAATGCATGTACCCAAGTGAAGTAGGTTATGGAGCTGTGTACAACAGAATAAAAAATGGTATTGGCAATTCGATATGTATTTTCCACAAAACTAGAACTATTTCTAAATGTAACATAATGTAATATTCACTGTTGAAAATGTATATGTTTATATAGTACATACTGTACGTATACTCTGAAAAACCATACCATTCTTCACTAACATGTACAATTGTATGTAAACCAGAAATCACAATTTAAAAAATTAAAAATTTTTGCAAATTGTTTTAAAGTCCTTGTTCAGTAGATCCACCATCAGGTCTTTTTCAGGGACATTTTCTGTTTTTTGTTTGTTTTTTTCTTTTTTCCCTTTAAATGGGTCATAACTTCTTGTTTCTTTATTTGCCTTTTTGCTATTGAAAACTGAACATTTGAATCTAGTAATATGGTACTCTGGATATCAAATTCTCTCTTTTACTCAAGGTTCTGTTGTTTTGTTGTTGTTGTTGTTGCTGTTGTAGGCTGTCTCTGTGCCAAGGATCAGACTGAGGTGTAATTTTTAAGACCCTCTCAGTGTTTTTTTGTGTCTTTGCCTGAGTATACATGGTCACTTTCTTATTTTTCCTGTAAATGCAGTTGCTTTTGAATATT